ATTAGTTATATGAAAACTAAATGCTACTTGTTTAGATGCAATATAAAATCAGAGTATTTAAATAGATAATCTTCTAGTAGATTACAGCTCTAAACAGACTACTTAAATAAATAACTAAAGTTATATATATAGCTAGTTGCATACTTAACTTGTACAAGTTACATATAATATATTAACTAAAAACACAAATAAAGGCAGTAGCTACTGATAATATTGATTTTAGCAAAAAGTAAAAAAAAAATTTAGTATATATTTATAATTCTAGTTTTATCTAAACTTATTAATTAATTAAATAACTTTAAATATTATATAATAAGAGAATTACTACTATTACAAACAAACCTAAACTAAAAAACTATTATAAAATAATTTCAAACTATATTATAAAAAACTATAATATTTATGACTCAAATAATAAATAATATTTTTTCTTGTTAAACAAATCAAGTTTTATTAAATATTATAAATTCTATTATTAAGATATACTTATCTAATATAGCTAACATCTAAGAGTAAATTAATAGAAATATACCAATTTTTTTAAGTAAATTTTTTTTATAACTAAACAAAAATAACTCAATAACAATTTAATTAAATTTAATAAAAATTTATTTAAAATAATTTTAATAACTTATAAAACTTATTTTAAAAAAATTACTAGATTTAATTAAATTTTTATTAAATTATTTTTATATAAAATTTTAAAAAATTTTATTAATAACCTAGTGAAGTGAATAGGTTGTTAACCCTCAAGTGGCAGGTCTAAAGTTCAAATCCTAGTGACAATAAAAATTTGCAATTTTTTCTATATTATAGTTAACTGTCTTCTGTGATTAGTTGGGATTAGATATCTGTAACTCATGTTATATTAACATAAATGGAAGGTCTAGGTATTTATATAACATTGTATAAAAAAACACAAACTGGTACTGAGTAGTATGAACTCAAGATAAGTCCTTAGGTTATGTAAATTACAGAAACCAAGTAGAAAAATGAAAACCTACTTGAAAGATCTGAGTAAAAAGGTAATCTAAGCTTTTGACAGTGCTACTGTAAAGACTAGATCTATGAAACAGAGCTAGAATTTGTGAAACTAGACAAATGTGCTAGTCATTGAGAAGGAGCTAGATGAATCAACTAAGCCATCAGAATTTTCAGATTTCAGAGAAAAAAAATACATGCTAGCAAATATGTAAACCAAAGTTATTGTTAAAGCCTACCTTTTTGGACTATTTGAAATAGCAGCTTAGTAGAACTTGAATTGAATACCAAAGTAGAAAAAATATATTGTAAAGTCAGTACTGGAGTTGGAGTAAACTCTACAAAAGCATAATAGTTTAATAATATATCTTAATTACTAATGTTAGTCTTGGCTATAGCAATACTAAGTTAACTGTAAGAATAAGATACAGAAGATTCTAGAAGATTTAGTACAAGTTCAAAAGTTTTAAAGAATTGCTTTAAAAACTTAGTAGCTATGACATATTTTCACTGATATTGGCTAAGGTCATTAATAGACAAAAGTAGATGGGTGAATATAGAAACTAGAATAATTAAATAGAAAACTTACAAACAGGTTCTAGGTATGACAGCTAGTGTAGAACCTTCAGAAAAACTACTTAAATTAGACAATAACTAAAGTTGTACAAGTAGCTAGTTGTATACTCTTTTTATAATTCTTTTTTGTAATTGTAATACAACTATTAGTCAAATATACTATTAGTAAAATTCTGGATCACAAGTACTTATCTTAATATTTAAAAAAATTTTTTATTAACTTTATTTTTCAAAATATTAATATTTTGATAAATAAAATATATAACTAAATAAATATATTTTCAATTAATTATATAATTATAAAAATAAAAATATTAATTAAAATATAAAAAAAAAATACTAAATAAACAAGTAATAAAAGCTATAAAAGTAAGAAGATAAAAACATTAATTAAAAAAATAAAACAACTAAGATCTATAAAATAATATATAAAAAATTAAAAAAATATTAGAAATTTTTTTAAAAAATTATTATAAATAGATAATAGATTCTTTCTTGTAATATATATATGCTTTATACAAGAATAAATAAAAATCTTATTAATAAAACCCTTTTAAAAAAAACTTTAAATAAATAATTTTTATTTAAAATATTACTTTTATCTTGTAATATATTTAAAACTGCCTTAGTATATATCAAATTATTAAACTATCTCTATTACTTTTTGAATAATATTATACAACATACTTATTTCTCAAATAACAATTTATTACTCTTGTTTTATCTTTATATTTATTTTAATTTTTTTTTGATATTAAACTAGCCTCTTTTGGGACTAGGGTTTTATTCAGTAACTTGGATATAGGGACTTGCAGCCAAAGCCTTAAAGAAGTTACCTTATATTAGAGAGTACAACTAGCATACGTATACTTTTAGTGTCTAATTTAAGTAGTCCACTAATGATTCTACACTAGCTGCCATACCTGCAACCCAACTAGAGTCATTGCCTATTTAAACCTTCTGTACTGCAATCCTTATTGTGTCACTAGATCATCTTCAATTCAGATGTCAGTCAAGAAGGTCTAGATACTTTTACCTATTTCTCTTAGGACTTCATACCTTATTTCATGCAGTATATCCTTAGAAGCATTGTTACTAGAACCTTCTGTGTCCCACATACAGCTGACCTAGTTTTATGTAACATGCTATAGTTATCCATCACTTGTAGTTACAGAGATCTGTTTAACCGCTATGTTATACTATTTCTACTCTTGTAAAGTTCATCCAAACCCTGATACTTATCATTTTGACTTCTTCTCTTTATTCTTCTACTATCCAACTCAGAATCTGACAGACATCCCAAACTCCCAATCCAAATGGCCCAGTATGGTATACCTTTGGTATCCTTTTCCTCTGGTGATTCCAGTAACCTGATTGATCATATGCTCTTTTATACATCTTTTCATCTGGTTGCATGTCTGTCTATTTCTTATTGGAGTTTCTTAAGCTTTCATCAATCTGATAGCATAGTCAAAAGGTTTGTGCTATTCTTTACTTAGGAATTTTCAAGTGGACTTCTATCTTCTCAGTTTCTTGATCTTCTACATCTAGTGATCTTATTGTGGATTTGTATTAAAGTCTTATATAACACTGGTTATTAACATTCCTCTATATACATATAATGTTACACTTTGCATAAATGCCTCAGGCTCCCAATAATAAGTAGAACCCGATTAGTTGTAGTCAAGATTACAGATACCTAAATCCAACTGATCAACAAGAGACAGTTTACTGTAATACAAATTAATTACCAAATTTCATCATAGGTGGAATTTGAACCTTAGACCTGCTACTTGGAGGATGACAACCCAATCACTATACTAGGATCATCATCCTCTTATATTTATTTTAATAAACTTTAATACTACTAAAATTACAATACATAATTTTATCTTCTTATCAACATCACAATGCTTAATATAAATTCTCAAATTTTAACTAATAAAATTATAAAATATATATTATATATTTTTTTTTAATAATATAAATAAAAATTTTAAGTAAAGATATTTTAACAGTTACTAAATCAAATTCATAATTTTTTTTATTTGAATTTTACATATCTATAAAATTCAAATAAAAAAAAAATTATTGAATTTAACTTAGTAATCATTGTAATATCTTTATTTAAATCTTTTTTTGATAACCTTTTTATTTGAATTATATAATTTTTATAATTAAAATAAAAAAAATATTATCAAGATATCTTTGTTTAAGATTTGAAAAAAATTAATACAACTTTTATTTTAATAAATATTTTAGATTTTATTAAAATTTTTTTTTTTTTTTTTTTTGTTAAAAGTCATACTTGTGGTGATACTTTATTAACTTATATTGGGTTAGCTATTAAAACTATTTTTATAGAGATGAGAGTACAGCTAGTCATGCATGCAACTTTTGGTTGTCTATTTAAATAGTCCACCCTAAAGTTTTACACTAGATGCTGTACTTTTATTAAAATTTAAACAAAAATATCACAATAATCATCAAAACAATTTCAATGAACTTTTTAATTTAAATTTTACAAAACTATAGAATTAAAATAAAAAAATTCATCAAATTTAATGTATTAGTTGTCAAAATATCTTTATTTAAAAGTTTGCCAAAATTTAAAATGTTTATCAAAATAAAAGTTATAACAAACTTTTTTTCAAACTTTATACTAAACCAAGTTTGATAAACTTTTTTTTTATCTGGATTCTATAGGTTGTAAAATTCAAACAAAAAGTTCATCTAATTTAATTTAACTTGACAGTTGTCAAGATATTTTTGTTCAAAGTTTGAAAAAGAATCTTATCTTATTTTAATTATATAAATTCATGGAATTTAAAAAAAAAAGCACATCAAATTTGACTTGGTGGCTGTCGAGATATTTTCGCTCAAAATTTGTCACTTACGTTATTAAAAAATACATGTAAAATGTATTCTGTAATTATTGGTTAAAATTTTGGGGTGCTTATAAGAAGATAAGGTCACGTGTTGCGGTGTCGGTAGCAATTCCCGTTATAAGGGTTCTCACGTGTAAATAACCTTCAAAAACCATTTACAAAACAAATGAACGATATAAGAATCATTAAACTCCATTTAATAGACCCGTGTTAACTTCGACATTATGTAATCTGCCACTTTACACACCACGCCATATTACCTTTTTACCTTATTAGAGTCAAAATTTAATTAAATAAATCAATATTAACATATTAAGTAAATTTTATTTTATAAGATCAAAATATATATTTTCTAAAAGCTTGATACAAATTAACTTTTTATTAATATATTTAAATATTAAGAACCAGGTTTTAAATTTTGGTTCTGAACCAAACCAGGTTTAACTTGGGCTTGGAGCTTATTATATAAAACCTGGTTCTTGGGTTTTAATTTAGAACCTAAAAGTTTTAGAACTAAACCGAACTTAAACCAAACCTAAACTAACGTTACCATCCCTAACTGATAATAGCTTTTAATGCGTTTGTCATTCTTATGGTTACTGGTTCTGGTAAAATCACTGCGGCAAGTACCTCTGTGAACATTGTGGCAATACGTGGAATATTTTCGTTATTGTTACCTAGAATGACAGGATGTTGACTAAATAATAAATACGTTATTTAGATTATATTGATACTTTAATATAAAGAATAATAATACGACAGGGTGAAACCTGAGTTGCGAAATAATGAAATCCGTTATGATCATCACATGAGGGTGAAATCCGCTTTTATATAATAAAAAACATAATAAACCGCCGATTTCACTCTAGCCCGATCTACAAAGCGGATTTCACTATTTCACAACTCAGGTTTCACCCTGTTCTATAATACGTATTTGACTTACGCTTCTAGCAAGTCTAGCAAATATGTGTAGGTAAGTGCTGCTTCTTCTTCATCGTGAATGATAGGTAGAGAGGCGAACCACGCTGGAAGCACAGTGTTAACGTCAATTTTGCCATGGTTGAATTTTAGAATCTTAGTTATGGCAGATATCGCATTCTCAGTCGCGTATATATTTTCTTCTCTCCTGGAGCCCTCGGAATTTATTACTTGGAATAAATTATTTAATGCCTCTACAGGAAAAAAAAGAGGTTAATGTATATAAAAAATAAATGTTTACGCTCTTAAATATATATATAAAATGAAAACCTGCAACTGCTCCAGAATAATTTTCGCCGCCAAACTGGGCGCATACACCAATACCGTATGCAGCAGCCTGCCTAACGTCGGAAGCTACGATAAATCAACAACAATGAGGAAATTATTGTGACTATTATAAACCAAAAAAACTGTTGAACTAACCTATATCCATTAATGATGCAATCATTTTCTCTAAGAAATGGGTATGATAAACCCATGATTCAGGCCCAGTAAATTCAACAACATCATCAATTACACACAAAGCCCATTGACGAGCAGCAGGGTTAGCATCAGCCAAAAACGTAGAGACAATGGGTAACAATTTGTTAAAGGACGGAAGATAGGATATCCTATGAGTTTTGAGGATAACATGCAAAGCTTTAGAAAGTTCTCCAAGAACACCTTCTTCTGTTGCTTCCTCTTCCATAATTATTTCTTCATCCTCAGCATCATAGTCACCGCTATTCCTTGCTTGTTCTCTCTGCTTTATTCTTTGGTAAAATTCTGTCAATTGGGCTTCAGTGGCATTTGTGAAATCTTCTAATTGCGACTGAATAAGGCTGTTGTCGCCAACTATTTCTAATGATTCGTAAAAAGTAACGTAAAGTTGCCATAAAAAGGTGGGATCAACTTCGCTCTTTATAACTTCGATAATTTTGTTCACAATTGTGTGCCACATATTTAATATATATTCAGGCATAGCATTAGCCTTTTTAACTGAATTAAGGAGATGTGGAATAGTAGCTGCTGCAGCATTACGAACTCCATCATGAAAATAAAACTTCAGAAGAGGTAACACAATTTCCAAAACCTTTTCAACATACGGTTGGAAGGCAGGACCAAGTTCTCGAGCATAACATATAAGCATTTCAACAGCGGTACATTTTTCTTCCAAAACTGTAGTTTTTATTCCAATTTGCTACATAAATATTGATAACTATTGAATTAATAGGTTATTATAAAAATGTCAACACTTACTAGATCCACAATTCTTACCTGACCCTCAACGCCTACAAATTCCCAACCATCTTCAGCTGAATATTTTGATTCAATATCATCATCGGCTGTAAAGATAAAGCCAGAATTATTATCAGATTTATCAAACATATTGACTCATAAAATAATTAAATAATTAACTAACGATCTAAAACAGCAAAATCAGGCTTTAAGCTTGCCGATTGCAAAAGAGGGGGCATAACAATAGGAAGGTATGGGACAAAATCTGCGCCAAGAACTTTGCATACTCTTGCCCATGAAGCAATAAGATATGATGTTTGAGGGTCATCTGGTTCAGTGACTGATTCTACACATTAGTAATATAATGCCATCTCGTTATTATCAAGAATAAGGAAAAAGCGCCAAATAAAATAAACTAACACTTACGTTGAGTTTGAACCAATAACTCGATGAATTCACTGGCATTTTGCGCAAAAATTTCTTTACCCACAGCCAAAGCTAAATTATGTTGACGATTAAGTGAGCAGGTGTTAATAATAAAATTTAAAGATCATAAAATATATACCTATAAGACTTGCACATTCCATGGCTTTGCCGCGTAATAATCGATATTCTTTTTGGTGTGCATTTCTAAGCACACTTACTAATAAAGGCATAATAGCGCTATAATACTATAAGAGCATTTCAATACAATAAATAAATATTATAAGTAAGCAAAGCAGAAGATCACATAATTCCTACCTTGACAAATCTATCTTCTGCACTATCTGCAACTGTAGCTATCGTTGTGATAGCTTGCTCTTGAACATAGGTTCTCCCAGAGTTTAGAAGAACAAGAAGCCTTTCAAAAATAGGATCCAAATAAGGTTCTAAAATTGCTTTATCTGCAGCTTCGCAGAAGTTGACTAGGGCAGCAGCAGCATGGGCTTGAACCCTACAATGATAATCGAATTAACAAAAGTTAACATTTAAAATGCATCTCGAAATGATGTACCGATAATACAAACAATTTTATCATACCTAGGTTCTGGAGTGTCCATTATAGGAATCAAATTTGTAAGTACAGGCTGATGATATTTCCTTTGGAGTGAATCTTGGAAATCAGTCGACATTTGACCGATTGCATTACACGCAGCATATCTTACTCGGGGATGAGGGTCTCGTAAATATGGCAAAACCAATCTTGTATAGAGTAAATAAAATAAAAATAAATTAAAGAGATTATTTTTATAAAAGAAATTTTTATATAACAATAATTACAACTTACTCAATGATTTTACCCAATTCAGCTTCCATGATCTTGACACAACCTTCCCCAATAGCAGATATTGCCATAAGTGCCGCATGACGTTGTTGCCACTTTTCCGAACCCAACATGGAAGGAATATAATTAAAGGCAATAGGAAGTACAGCTTTTCCACCTAAACCCAAAATCAAAGTTCGCTACGGTAATCCTACAATTAATCTAGAATAACACGAATGCATTATAGGCTAATTTACAAAATTAATTACCAATATTACGAGCTAATCTATCCATGGCATGTTCCCCCATAACATAGTTTTCATCATTATCGTCATCATCTAACTATGAAGAAAATACAAATATGAATAGAATGGGTATATATAAATATATTTGAAGGCAACAAAACTAATAAATGAATGGTATATTAAGCCAAAAATAATTTACATCATCTGTTGTGTACCATCCTTCATCATCTTCCAATTCAGTCATCATTTCCAAGGATATGGGGATAACTTGTGAGCAGAAGTCTGGAGTTTTACGCATCATCGACGGAGAGGCCTCCGACAAAGTTAGTAGAAGCTCAAGAGCAGTTTGACGCGTACCATCTTCGAAAGTCTTATCTTTCATAATATTTATGGCAAAAGGCATGACAATAGGGAGTACCGGCCTAAATACACGCGGTAAATTTTCACCCAATTCAATGAACACCATTATGCCGTCAACTAAGCCATCTTCATCACGTTGTGTCACGAGCGGAGATAAGACCTTTTGCGTGAGATGTCAAAAACACGTTAAATGCCAATAACGTATTCAATATTCATGCAATTAGAGTCTGTCTCATAACCACCGATCTGTAAACAAATTAATAACCCCAAATTTACTAATGTTTAATCACAATTATGTTATATAAATTTATATCTTAAAAATTATTAAATTTTGAGTTATTAATTAAAGGTTTAAAATCCATAAATGGGTATGTTACAGACTGTTTTCAGAGCTAGTGTTATTTTCATACCTCAAGCATCTGTGGCATCAATTCAGCAAAAGAAGTACGATTTGGTTGATCTGTGTCCAACATGAATGCTACAGCAGCTTTAAGAGAAGTCATACGAATCTAAGGTTTAATGTATTAATTTCAGCGACTCGATCCGAGTGTTTGAATATAATAAAAGAAATAATAATAATAATAAATACAATCCATTGTACGTACTGCTGCGCTATCAGCGTCCCGTAAATTTGCAGAAAAAACTTGCTTTACAATATCAATAGGCTGATCAGTGATTAGACTAGGCAAAGCAGAAAATATGCGTAAAGCAGCTTCACGATGTTCGGCAGAAGGAGATTTGCTAGCTTCAAATAGAGCAGGTAGTAGTTCATCCCACTTTTCTACATGAGAAAAATAGGAGAGTTTGAAAATACGATCTAATAAACAGAAGATAAAACGAAAATTATAAAATGCAATACTTACGTCCTGTGAATAAGGAATTTTTGGTAACTTCTGAAATGGCATCACACACTTTATGACGTACAGTATTTTCTCTCTCAACAGAAAGGGACATTAAAAGTTCATTTTTGATTGCTTGTCTACTCTGTTCTTGAAGGCGGTCCCATATTGTAGCATCTTGACCTGGAACTGTTTTAAACGCAATTCTTCGAAACAACACCAAAGCAAAAGAGCGGTCCTAAATCGCCGATAATAATAAGCCATAACGAAACGCGTGTTACAATTCGATCTTAACCTATCTTTCTTTTTTTTATTTTATAAATACATGAAAACCTGTTAAATGATCCTCACGTGTATTCCTTCATGAGATCTTCCAAGTTGTATTAAAGAAAGAAGTAATAAGTCCGGTTGTTGCGCGATCCAATGGTCATTTAATTGTTTTTCAGCGTTTGAACGAAGATCATTATCATTAGAAGTCAAGTTTGATAGTAATTGGTTCAGTTGAGAAGTAATATCAAGAGAAACTAGCGAGGACGTAGTCGTCGTCATTTCCGAAAAAAAAAAAAGTCTAAAAAAGAATAGAAGGTTAGAATGACCATAAAAAAGGTATCAAATAAGCACGTGTAATTGTGTAGACAGGATCACAAGATTTGCGCATTGTGTAAATGAAATTATCTACGTCATCCGACCACGGTTAAATCAATATGGATCTGAAGTACGTTATAGTTGATTAATTACCATTAATTACCTGGGAACATGCAAACTGCAAGATTATATGCGTTGCATAGCAATAGTATGAGAAGTAATACGTCATCATCATGATCAAAGACAAGGTTGTTTAATCTTTTATTGTTCGAATAAAACTGTTAAACGCTTTATCTATTGTTAAGACGCAGAGACGGGTCAGTGATATTTATTTATTTTATATAAAATACCACGCAGAAAATCATCAACTCTACGCAGAAAGGTGGTTTAGTAGAAAAATTTCAAGCTACCGATACGGGAGATTCGGACTACCATTACGATTTTTTTTGTATTGCAGAATTCGAATCACGAATTAAGATATTTTAATAAATTGAAAATGAAGGTTTAGCGTTAACAATAATTTTCCAAATATATATATATAATATGTATAGAATTAATAAAATTAATTATGGCTCAGCCATGTATTATATATATAGCTAAATTAGAATATATTTTTGTAACGGTAATGCAATTAAAAACTATATATAGTGAATAATAAATTCGTATAAAAAAAAATACAATATAGAAATTTAAAACTACACACCAAAACATAAGGTTCATCCTTCTAACAACAATAACTTAATCTTTGGACCATTTAAATGATTTTTATTAAAATTATTAACGGATTCTTGATTTATTTCACCATTTTGTTTAACCTTAGCATATCCACCTAGAATAAAATCACTTTCATAGCTTTTCCTATAAATTTTAACATCCTTTAACGAGCAATTACCATATCTTCCACATCTCTCAAACAAATCCCATAAAAAGTCAGTTGATGTGTGCTCCGGTACATTGTGAATCAACAACACTTGTAAATTCTGGAATTGTTCAAACTGATCAAGTATTAATTGTGCGTCATTACCGGAGGATTTAGATGTATATGGTGGTGGAGACTTTGAAGAGGATCCAAAAGAAGAGAGATTAGCGAATGATGTGGGGATGATGTAACCAAGACTAATGGAAAGTGTTTTTAAATTAATACATCTAATGAGTAGCTCAGCGATAGAACTTTCAAGTATTAGAATTGATTTCATATTATGAATAAATAATTCTTCCAAATTGTTCTTATTAGCAGTCAGAAGGATTTCTAAAGCCTTACAAGTAATCAAAGAACAATTACTTATATTTATTGAGACCAAATTTTTGCAGTAATTCGATAATGCAATAATCGAATTATCAGAAATCTTTTGTAATGATTGGAAATTTACTCGTCTCAATTTTTGTTTTCCAAATTTTGCAATGGCAAATATAGAAGTATCGGTAACACAAGATCTTGAATTCGCTATATTGATGGTATGAAGGTCGTGGCAATAATATATAATTTGAGAAACAGAACCATCAGAAACACCAGAACAATTATCAAGAGTAATTTGTGCAAGTTCTGGAAAATTCTGAATTAAAGATTTGAGTGTTGTTTCTGTAATATTCTTTGAATTTGAGAGATCGAGATGTTCAAGAAATCCATGAGGTTGTCTAAGGCTAGAGCAGAGTTTACGAATTGACATTGTTGTAAGAAAAGATGCATCTCGAATGATAAGAGAACGTAGATTAGGGCATCGTTGAATAATTATTGACAACCAATTTTCATCGATAGTTTCATATAACGACTCCTGAATTTGACTAACATCAATGATTTGAACTAAAGACCTAGTTTGGTCATTTGCAACTGTTCCTAAAATTTCAAGAAACTTTTGAAATGCTTGAAGAGACGTAGCTCCCTCAGTAATAAAATTCGGTCTGTTCCAAATGTTTTTCTTGACATTTTGGCACCAGTTTTTGCTTACAAGCGAACAAACACAAAGATCCCGGCGATTTAAATAGTTAAATATACAGCTGAGTACGAAATTATACCGTTGCATTGGTAAATTCATGTTTAAAAGACGTTGAATGGTATGTTTCAAGGCACTAAATAAGTACCTTTTGTTTTGCTGTGATCTTGTGACATTTTAAAATAAAGTTCTAGTGGAACCTGGAATCGTGTGTATCTAAAAACAGATCCAAAATAAGCTACGTATGAATATCGATAACTGATAAATAGTGGCCAGACTTCGGCTTAGTCGGCTACAAGCATAGCAGAAACTCATTGTTACACGGACTATTTAATTTTGGGCATTGGGATTTGGGTGGGATTTTGAAATTTTTGGTTTTGCCAGCATAATAAGTTAAATAAGTAAAATTTCTTCGTTTTGGGTGTTTCTAACAGCAAATCTTTTCTAATCGTTTTCCCTAGAAAGTTTCATAAGAACAAAGGTAGGGCGTTTGGTATATGTTTAAATTGGCTAAGAAATATAAACAGTTTAACGATTTATTTTACTCGAACTAAATTAAATATCAAACAAAAAAAAATTACTATCTCCAAGATATAATATAATAAATACGATAGTACGATTTAATTACAGTAATGTATATTATGGTGTAGTATCATGCTAGATGTAGCGTGTTTTCAGTAAATCTAATGGTTGAAAAATAGAATAAAATTACTTTAGCAGTTAGTATTAAAACGCTTTGCTTTTATTAATAATAGTATCGAAAGAATTTTTAATTGATTTATCAATAACCCGTGATTTTCCGTAAAAAACAAAATTTTTCACGTCACGTGATATACAAACTTCTTTAAGTTCGTTTTATGTTTTGGTTAAAATTTATGAAATATATGTTAATGCGCAGAAGGTGGTCTCCTATATAGATTAAGCGAATTTTGACAAAACCAACGTTTGTTTTGAATTTCCGGATCGCGTAACGTTACACGAAATTGAGATTCGTTATTGGCTTATTTCACGTGGCGGTAAAAATTACATAGCAATAGTAGTGTAAAAATACTAGTTTCCGTTATGCTCTACAAACACTAAAAAGATTGTTTCTGTATATAAATAAATTTTTTTGCCAGTAAAAAATTATTAGTGTTTTTTACTTTTTTACTTTCAAGTTTTAGCAAAAGAAAATAGGTAAGCAATTTTCTTGTTTACATTTTATATATACATACATTGATTTTGGAGAAGAAATCGTTAAGTTTTCCTTCATAACAATCATTTTACATGTCATTCATTCATTCATTCGTGTCATTCAATCATTCGTTTCATTCATTCATATTGCATCATCTATTGTGTCGTGTCACTCATTCATTCATTCATTTACGAATATATATGTAAACCCTCTCTTATGCTTACATTTACGTTTTAGGTTATAAAAAACTGAGGCTTTGTTGCCTTCTTAAATGTTCTTTCTTTATAGGTGGTGATCTATTTAATATAGGCAAAGATAAATACTTTATGCGATTGTAACTGGTAAAAAAACATGTCTTCAAAAGATAAGAATGCAAGTAATTATAAACTATTTTTTATTAATGATAAAAATTTGTGATATTGCTACTAATGTTACTATAGTTTTGGTATGTACATTTAAGAAGCAGATCTATTTTACAAAAATGTTCAAGATAAAGATGTTTCTATTCAAAATAAAGACTTGAGAGAACCAAAATATATTTTCTTTATGTCAAATCTTATAATAATAGTCAAGAAAATTATATTTATTGCTTTTGTATCATTAACTTTTCCATTATTATTTTTTAGTGAATTTATCAATTTTTTTTATACCAAACAACGTTACCAACAGTAATATCTCACTCTTAATCAATAATAAATTATGTTTATTGTTTTTATATCAATTTTTTTCATCATTATCTTTTTAGTAGATTTATTGTCCGAAGCACTTATACTTCTAGACAATGTCTGTCCGAAAAAACCAATAAAATTCGGTACACGTGATAATTTATGCAGAATGCAGATCACGAGTGATGCGAAACTTATTTATACAGTACTATAAACCTCCAACTAAAAATCCCAAGAGATTTCTTATGCTTCGGACTTTTAACGGTCTCCGTTTCCTAGTGTTTATTACTTTTATATCGTTAATTTTTCCATGATTATCTTTTTAATGGGTTTATCGTTTTTTTTTTATACAAGGCAACGTCATCGACATCTCATTCCGAGATGACTTCATCGAACCAATTATGGTGCCCCCTCAGTCAAAAGAAACGTCTTTCTTTTGTCAAACAATGTTAGGTTAGAATTAATTAATAAATAATCTGGTAACCATAGATTCACGCATTGATAGGTTGGAACGACTCTGCCGAAGTAACAGTAACAGTAATAAACTGCGAATATATAAAGTACATTTGAACTTGAATAATCATTATATGTTGTCCACATTATGAAAATAAAATTTTCAATGGATTTGATATAAAGTCTGCAATTATTTTATTAATAAAGTTATTATACTCTATATGTTGACTTATTAATAAACTGCTCAATATATTTGCCATGTAGTGTTCAGGTTGGCCAAATTTGTATTGTCCGGCCCAAATTATACATCTAATTTTGCCCGAAGTAGTATTGTTACACCGCATCAAAAATTGCAAAAATATCGATTTTCCTATGATTTGGCCAAAAAAATTGCTGATTTCGAAAATCCTTTTTTTTTGTGATGTATAACGAAGGCTTCGCCGAAGAAGAAGTTGACCTCTCTGACGAGGTTGATTTGCTGACCCCTAGTTTTCCTGTAGTTGAGGAAGATTTGGACGATGATGGCAAGTTCTTAATACGATTAATTAATTTATTATAAATTAAATTACATTGTTTTTAAACTCGTTTAGATCAGCTTCAAATGATGCTTCAGCAACAGTATGCACAAGAAATACCCGACGTTGTTAAAAATTTCATTATATATTTTCACCGTAATGTTCTTGAAAATAATGTCTACGAGTTACATGGAGTATATGAAAATTCATTCAACCGCTTAACAGAAAAATTTTACATGAAAACGCCCTGGCCTGAAGCAGATTTTATTGCCCCATTGGTTAACGATGGTACAAATTCATTCGGTTTTTATCTGATTATCAAATATGTCATTTGGCTGTAAATTTTTTTTTTTTTTTTAGACCAAGTATTCTTAACTTTATATCGTGAATTATATTATCGACATATATATTCGAAACTTTCACCAACCATTGAACACCGATTTCATTCATATGAAAATTATTGTGATCTATTCAACTATATTTTGAGTAATGTTTATTTTCAAATTACAGTCAGACCTCCCTAAGTACAATTTGTTGGAACCAAACTTATGGCAACTTGCACTTAGAGAATAAATAATAAGAAAGTTGCCTTTATGAGGGTTCAGTATATTTGGACCAGATTTAAAGGTCTTATTTAGTGCATTTTGGCATGCAAAATTTAATGGTTTGTTATTTATAAACTTTATACAGACTCTGATGGTCCAGTTGGTTTGGAACTTCCAAATCAATGGCTTTGGGATATTATTGATGAATTCATTTATCAGTTTCAATCATTCTGCAATTATCGTAATCGACTTAAAAATAAGACTGAGGAAGAAATTGTCTTGTTGCGGGATAATATTCAGGTATATTAACCCATGTAATGTTAATATACTTAAATCTTACTTAAATATTGATTTAGGTGTGGAGTTGCTACAGTGTGTTGAATGTCTTATATTCTCTCATTACAAAATCTCGGATCACTGAACAATTGCTTGTTAGCAAACATGGGGGTGACATGATGTGAGTGAATGGATAATTTTGAAAATATGTTTATCAATATTGTTTTGTTTCATAATGATTTTTTGATTAGTGAAGCTGCGGGTGAATATGGATCGCGTCCTTTATATAAGATGCTAGGTTATTTTAGTATTATCGGTCTCCTGCGTGTTCATTGTTTATTAGGAGACTATACTTTAGCGCTTAAAATGATGGATAATATTGAATTAAATAAAAAAGTAAGTATATTTGTAAATATTGTTGAGGTCTCATAGAATACTTTTTTAACTTTTTTTATAGGCACTTTTCGCCCGTGTGACCGCTTGTCATGTCACCACATATTACTATGTTGGTTTTGCGTATATGATGATGCGACGATATGCTGATGCTATAAAAGCATTTTCACATATTCTTGTATTCATTGCAAGAACAAAAATGTATCATACTCGGTCTTACCAATTTGATCAGGTAAATTTATACGCGTTATATTTGTTATCTTCGATTATATCAGGTTGTTTTATACTTTTTTTTTTGTTTTTGCAAGATTAATAAAAAGGGTGATCAGATGTATGCATTATTGGCCATTTGTATTGCACTTTGTCCAACTCGATTAGATGAAAATATACATGCACACATGAGAGAAAAATATGGCGAACAATTGAGCAAAATGCAACGCGGGTGAGTATTGAAAAAATGTTTCTAAAGGATATACATTGTTTTTTCCTACTTTTAAATTTAATTATCTGTAGCGAAGAAGGGCTTCAAACGTTTGAAGATTTGTTTTTGTATGCATGCCCGAAATTTATTTCACCGATTGGACCGAACTTTGAAGATCTTAATTCCTTGACTCAAGCAATTGTATTATCCATATTTTAATATTTATTTAAAACAGTTTGCCATAAATTATTATTTACAAAATATTACCATTCATAATAGGAACCTCATCATCATCATGCAAAAATCTTTCTTGCTGAAGTCCGTCATCAAATACTAATTCCAACACTAAGATCATATCTGAAGTTATATACGACCATGGGAATTGACAAGTTGGCAGCTTTCCTTGAAATAGAACCTGATAAGTTAAGGTAACAATAGAATTGTATAATATCATAGGAATAAGAAGACATAATGATAAAATTTATATATTAGAACCCAGTTACTTATAGTCAAGCAAAAATCACGCCAGCAAAAATGGATCAGTGGTACATTACTTGAGGGAGAATATGTTGCAACTTCTGACCTTGACTTTTGCTTGAAGCAGGTTATTATTAAACATGTTTTATTAACTTGTTTGAATAATGTTATAGCAAATGTTATACTAATTTAGTCATTATCTAATTATTTATAATATTTAGGATATGATTCATATTGCCGAATCTAAAGTTGGACGTCGTTATGGAGATTGGTTTTTGCGTAATATAAATAAATTCCAAGTAAATATACATGGAAATGAGTCAATGGAAACCAACCAATTTTTTTTTAAGAAATTGTTTTTTTTAAACTTTAACAAAAACGCTACCAAATTTGAAATTTTACCTAATCAGTTCTATGCTATATAGGATTGATTTAAAAAAAGTTATCAAAGCTGGTTGAATCTTGTTATTTTTTAAAGTTGTAAAAGAAATTTTTACTGAAAAAAGCTGCTTGATTTCTATTGACTCACCACTATATTATAATCAATTATATATTTTTAGGATTTAAATGCTTTTTGTTAACTAATTATTATTTTAACTAGGATATTATTGCGGGAATGGAGCTTCGTGCCTGATACAATTTTTAAAAGGTTAATTCATTTTTGAAAGAAGATTTTAAATTATCTTTTAAACTGTAAGAAAATTTTAGACAAATTTGCTTGAAAAATTATAAATTTGTTTATGATTTGTTAAAAAAAAGAATTGTTAATTTTTATTAAAGATAATGTTTATCAAAGTATTATATTTCAAAAACATATTAAATAAAAATGGTTAGAATTTTTAAAACTTTATTTTAATTAAAATTAAGATTTTAATATTTAATTTTAAGCTTTGTTTAAATTATATTTTAATTTTAAAAATATAAAAATAGTGATTTTTTAGTTAAATGTAAATATTTTTTAAAAATTTTTAATAATGTTTAAAAATAAAACTTAGTATTTATTAAAATTAAGTATAATTTAATGTTAGATATTTTTAATTAGTAATTTAAAGACAATTATATTAGTAAAATATTATGATATTTATATTTTTAAAAAATTTTTTTTATTAAGTTTTCTTAAAATTTTACTAATATAATCATTTTTTGGCTTTTAAGTAAAAATGTTTGTTATAAAATTTTACATTTAAATGCATTATTTTTAATTAGAATTTATAGTTTTAACAAAATTAGTTAAGAGTTATTTAGTTGTTTATATATTTTTTGTTTTTAAAATTTAATTGTTAAAAATTAATTAATTATATTAAAAACAATATATAATAACATTATACTTATGTAATATCTATTTAACTTTTTAATTTTATTATAAATTTTTTTTAAAATGAACTTTTAGATTTTGACTTTTATTAATGTTTTTTGGTAATAGGATTTCATATAGGACTACTATAGTAAGAGAATATAATTAACTATATATATAACTTTTTTATATTATCTATTTAAGATGTTTAAAGCTCTTTTCAAATTGCTATATATAACAACTCTGCTTGGGTGTTCTATTTTAAACTTTTTAAATCTGCAATTTATATTAACTTTATTAGATTATGTTCAGATCATTGTTTCAATCTTAAAACTATTATATCTTTAAAATAAACTTTTAGAACCTTTTATATATGTATTTTATAGTTAATCTAATATTATTATAGCTAAACTAATACTTGTAATTAGAACTAGTTGTTAAACTACTATATTTTTACAGAGTTTATCTAAACTCCAGTACTACTTTATAGCATATTTTAATATATTTTTGCTTTTGTCTTCAAATTTCTAATTCAAATAGCTTAGCAAATCTGTAATCTATCTCTTAATATATTAAATTAGTCAGATATTCTTTATTTCTATTTTAATTCTGATAATTTAGTTAGTAATATCTCTTATCTGAGTTTTTTATTTATTTAGTTCTTTCATATTAATATATGTTTTTTAAGTTTGGACTTTACAATAGTATTATTAAAAATCTGTACTACTTCTTTGCTTAGATTTTTTCAAATAAGTTTCTTGTTTTTTAATTTTTACAGATTTATATAGCTACAAAGGCTTATTTTAGATTTTATTACCTAATGCTAATTTGCATTTCTCTGTATAATCAGTTATATAAATATTTTATTATTTGTTAATTATATATATAAATAAATATCTAAATTTTAATGTTAGTAAGTTTTGAACTTATAACTAATTACTTAAAAAATTAACAATTAATCTATTTTACTAAGTCATTACACTTCTATTATAAATTTTTTTTAAAAATATTAATAAATTTTTATATATTAAAAATTTAAAGTTTTTATTTAAAATTTTTATTATTAAATTTTTTAAATTTTATATATTGTTACAAAATAGCTTAGTAATATAGTATAATATATGAAGAGGAGTCAATAAAAAAGAGACAAATCAGGTAAATTACAATTTTAAAAAAATCGAGTTTTTGTATTATATTATATCAAATTTGGATAGAATCTGAAACAAACTAGCCAAATTTGACTAAATCTGAATTAAACACTTTGATCTAATTTCGATTGTTACTAGTACTGGGTCAATAGAAAAAGAACAAATCTATCTAATAGATTTGTCCTATTTCTATTGACTCATGCATTGCACTAATTATGTTTGACATGATTTTTTTTTCTAAGTCTTTATATAATTTTTTATAAGTATTTTTATTGCTTTCTCGAACTAATTATAACTTCAATAGAGCAAAAAAAGGTTGAAATGATTTAAGCTTATATAACTAGTAAATAGGTTTGTAGGCTTTGATTCTAAATCACTCATTGTGCCTAAGTTATAGAAAACTAACCAAAATTTGACTAAAAAAATCTTGAACAGATCAAAAGAATCTACCAAGTTGATATTAAAAAACATACAATTAATTTTGGATATGACAACTCTTTTTATAAACTCTGAATATAGTGTATTCAAAATTTTAAAATTTATAGTACAGTAAACCTTTGTAAATGCATGCTCTTGGGACCAAGCTTAAACAATATGTATTTAGAGATTAAAAAGAAAAAGTTTATTTATAAGAAGTATAAATATATTTGAGCCAGAAATCGAGCATACATTTATAGAGGTTTTATTGTATATAGTTTAATTCTCAAAGTTCTATAATTTTTTTTTTCAAACCATTAGCTTGTTATAAAGAGAACAAGATATTTTTTAAAGTGGTAAGCTTATTGATTTAGTAAAGTTTTATAATTAAAATTTGAAAATATGTTTAATTTTATGCTTCTCTATTTTAGACTTGTATTAATAATCAAATAAATTAGCATTTTAAAGTGTTTTTATCAATTCTGTATCACTTGTCTGACCTTTCACTAGCAAAGAAACTTTGGCATTCATTGATTATGGTTTATATAATTTTATAAAGTATTAAATTCCTATACAATCGTATATTATTAAAGTTTATTTCTAAAGATATGATTACTCAAGTTTACTCTATTTTTATTAAAATACTATCTTATATCTAAGTAAAAATAGTATTATAGTAGTATACATTCATCGCTCCAAGAACTAAAAGAATATTTATCATTATTATGATAACTTATATTTAAAAATAAAGTATAATATTATAGAATTTTTATATGAATAATTTTATTCAAAAATAAAAGATAATTTTAATTTTAAACTTCCAAATAAAAATTTACTATTACTGTTTATTTTAATTTTGCAAATTTTTTGATTTTTTTGGTTTGGGTCAATTGGGCATTATATAGTAAATATCACATTTTGAAGAATTTTGTATATGCTATGCTATTTTATTGTGCAAATATCATTGTCTTTCTAAGCTGATACCCTGTAGAGTAATCATATTTGAAAAAACCAATTTACTACTTCTAGTTCTTGGAATTGAAGAAACCTGTATAATCATAACTTTAATTTCATTATCATCAAATGACTTTTGAACTTTCACTTTTTCTAGATATTTACAAGATATAGTTAAATGATGCTGCATAAGAATGAATAAAACAGTAGTAAAAAACTAATCAAAAAATTGATTCCAATTATAAAATATAACTCTCCTATTTCTATCAGAATTAATAATCATATCTGCTTTATTATATCCACCAGTAGTGAATTGATCAATAACACATATTAAATCTTCTAAATCTTCTACTTCAGAATTTCTGAGTTTTAATTTGAATAAACTAAAAAACCTATCTGGTCCAAATTTTGTGTGGCTGAGAACCATAAAACTATATGTGTTTTTTTTATGCAAAATAGTTATTACTTGCCAATACAAGTATTTAATCATTGTATTATTTTTGGTTTGTTCTATGCAGTTGTCTGCATAAATAATAACATGCTTTTTGCCAAGGTCATATATAGCAAAATAATGATAAATAAGAGATATTATTGCATTTGTACCATTTCTGATACTCTTATTTTCTGAAATAAGATAATTGATCTAAAAAAACAATTGTTCAAAAGTTAAAAAAAAATCAATAAGTATAAAGCATTAGAGCAAGATATAAAAAATAGATAGGTAAGTATTTTTTCTCTAATCAATATTAAATTAAAGGTTTTATAATTTATCATTATAGTGATATATTACTATTTCGAGTTTATAACAAAATTCTAAAAGTAAAAACCCTCAAAAATCAAAATCCCAATATTTAATTGTCATGTCATGTGATGGTAGAGTTCTAATTGGAGCTCTGATATTGTGTAATATGCAATTAAATTTCTAAAGTAGTGATACATCACTATAGCAATAAAAAAAAAACTCCTTAAATTAATACACTTTAATCTGCTATTCAAACTAGTATTAAAAATTTAATATGAATATTATGCAAATTGTGATATACATTGCATGAAATTACAATTGCTATCTACTTAGTTCTAAGAATCATTAAATATATTTAAATCATTAAACACATTTGCTCTAATATATATACTATATATATATTTAAGAAAAAAAAAAACTACATTATTCTAAGAATTTTTTATTTTTCTTCTTATATTATTACTTTGGATTTTCTTAGGTAACTGATTAGGGTCAGAGGGCAGTATTATTAATTTTAATAGATATTATAGATTTAAATAAAGATTCTAAATTTTAGTATAATTACTTACAATAAATAATTCATTTTTGATTATATCGATTTATATATATATGATGCCATCAAGAGAAAATATATCATTAAGTATTTTTTCCAGTTCGTTTACTAAGCGACTCTGAGAACAAAATATAATTAAAAGTCTGATGACAGGTTTTCTCTTGACAGCACTCATATATTAAATTTTTTGAATGAAGTAATTCTTTTTACAACTATTAAATAATTGTTAAAATTGATTTGAAGCTAAGATTGTTTATTAAATAGCATACTTAGGAGTAATTCAGATTGAACTCAATGCATGGTTTAAAAATATTTAAAGTAACTCAAAACAAGACTAAAGCAAATCTAGAGTAAAATTCAGGATAAAGTTAATTTAATAAAGTAAAGATTGAATTAATCTAACCCAACTCTATCTAACTTACTAACAATCTTGCACTAGTAAAATTTAAAAAATCATAATATTGAATGGCATGATTCAAATACTATCAAACTGCTATTCGAACTGCTATTCAACAATATCATATTA